GCCAATCGTGTGCATTGTCTGGCCGAACGGTGAAGTTAGTTTGAGTGAGAACACAAGAGGTAGGAAGTGGGGAGCACAAGGGTAATCCAAGGTAGATGAAGAATTACCTGCCCTGAAGAATCCGAAGATAGCACTCACACGGCCAACTGCAAAAAACAGAGTATCAACGAGTCCATGCGAGTCCTGATGTAGAATTGTGGACCTGGTTGGTGCGGGGTGACCCTTGTTCTGAGTTTGCTTGGCCCAGCTTCCCGCACTGGAGGAACTAGTCCTGGTGCGCCACGTGTATCCAATCTTCCCTCAAGACTTCGGTTCCTCTCTCTCTCTCTCTGTGTTACATGCCCAGTTGGGCGATGTACATACTAACCGAGGATCTGCAATGTGATGAAAAGGACTGAATGGACAATGCAGTGCCAGTGAAATCTAAACAAGCAGTGTACATCTTGATACATACAACAATGGTGTTTTATAGCGCAGTGGAAGATTTAAATACAAGTCTTGACCTGACCGGGACTGACCTCTTTCACGTAGTACAAGATAGCGAAGCAGAAGGCGTCGCACCTGATCGAGGAGTGCGGAAGAGGAATGGCACATGATACTTCGGCGTCGAAGACGTCGCAACGGTAAGTCCGCTGAGGCATCCCCAAAATGATGTCGAAGTCCGTGTCCAAGACGTCAAACGTCACTGGTTCGCATGCATGAGGCGCGACATAAACCGGCACGACTTCAATGTAGCGATCGAGGAGTTGTTGCGTCCGACCGTCCGCCAACTTGATCGTCGTCGGGTTTGACTTCCTTTGAACTTGTGCGCCAGGGACGTCCCTTTGGATAAAGGACTGGCTGATGAAATTGCGAGTCGCGCCGCTATCAAGCAAAGTGCTGCAGGACGCTTGCCCAACTTGGATGCGGACATAAAGGAGCGGTGCGTTGTTATCATCGTACCGCTGCATGCGAAACTCGCGGGCCACCTTGGTAACATACGCAAGGATGTCCCCCACCACAACTTCGTCATTCGTCGGCAAAGGTGGTGATGTATAGAAGGCTAAGTATGTGTGGAGATAGTGCTGAGCATTGCGGTCCCGACAAGCAGTCTGTGGAAGGGAGAGGAAGCCATGCAAGATCCTCGGACGTCAACGGGTCCAAGACCTCTATGCTATGTGTCCCTCTCGGCTGCGGCCGCCTCCAACTTGGCCGCGGCCGAGAAGGCTGCCCGCGGGCCCGCGGCCTAGGCTTCGCGGCCCAGTTCCCTCGCGGCCGTGCCACGACCCTGTGGGGGCGCGCGCTAGAAATTGGCGCGCGCCCGCGGGCGGCGGACGTCGTCCCCCTATGGGACTGCAGCAAAAAAAAATATATATATATATTTTTTGGGGGGGAGGGTGTTTTTCGTGACTACCTAAAATAATTAAAAAAATAAAAGAATTTTTTCATACTTGCGGCGCCCTGATGCGGTGCGCTGAGCAGGGCGGTGCGCTGTGCGCGGGGCGCACATTTTGCAGCGAGCGCAATGTGCGCCGTGCGCTGTGCTCTGCGCTGTGCGCTGTGCGCTCGGTGCGCCAAATGAAAATATGCCCTGAATTTATCTTGCACAGGGAGATATAGAGGAAGAAGAGGAGGAGGAAGAAGAAGAAGAGGAGGGGGAGGAGGAGGGGGAGGAAGAGGACGAGGAGGAGACAAACGAGAAAGATATGGTGGAGGAGGGAGATATGGAAGAAGATGCGGAGGGAGAGGAGGAGTAGAAGCAGCTGCACCAGCAAAAAAA